GGAGAAATGCAGCCTGCAGACATGTTGATTTGGCTAGCACCATGTTGAAACAATTGAACAAGAATGACTCATTCCTCAGACTGTGTGGATTCCACTTACCACATCACTTCTGATGGCTCTCTGCTCATCCTGTATCTTTCCCTTCTGCTGATTGCCCAGGCCTGCAGGTATCTGATTTTGCTACATCTCCTTGGTGTTTCCTCATAAAGATGGCCCTTGACCAAGTAGATTGCAATATACTGTGTACTATAACTGCCTGGAGGAATGTCACAATGCTTCTTAGTATACTAAAATTCTGGAAATTCTGCAGTTAAAAAACTCACTGGTTTATCTTTGCTTAAACCAATGTTTCTGAAAATTGGTTGTAAACCTCTTCTCTTGCAGAATACCTACCACCACTGTATTAGTCCATTTTTGTTCCTTGTAACAAAATACCTGAATCTGGGTGATTTACAAAGAAAATGAAATTTATTGCTTACAGTTTCTGGGGCTGGGAAGTCCAAAGTCCATCTGGTGGTGGTGACAGTGACTCAGGGGTCTCACATTGCAAGATGGTGGAAGCAGAGAGAACAGATAGAGGGAGAGAGAGAGAGACTCTCCTCTTCTTTTAAAGCCCTCAGAACCACACCCCTGACCATGATTTTTAATCCATTCACTACTACATGGTCCTTCAATCCAATCACCTCTTCACGGCTTCACCTTTCAATTACCATAATAGGATTTCCCACCCTCTTAACAGTCCCAGTTGGGGCTAAGTTTCTAATACATAAAACTTGAGAGACACAATTCAAGGTTCAGTGAGTTTTGGGGGGTCATAATTCAATCCACTACATTCCATCCCTGGACCCCCAAGACTCATGTCCTTTTCACATGCAAATACATTCATTTCATCTCCAAAGTCTTAACTTGTTTCAAATCAAGCGTCCAAAGTTCAAAGTCCCATCTGTGAAATCAATACAGGTTATCTACTTCTGAGATACAATGGTGGGACAAACATAGGGTACATATTCCCATTGCAAAAGGGAAAAATAGGCCAAAAGAAAGGAGAAACAGGCCCCACACAAGTCTGAAACCCAGCAGGGCAGGCATTAAATCTCAAAGCTGGTGAATCTTGTAACTTGACTCCATGTTCAACGGCCTCTGCATGCTGGTATGGGGGTTGGATCCCCAAGTCGTCAGGCAGCTCTGCCCCTATGGCTTTCCTGGTCTCAGGTGATGCTTTAGTTCTCACAGGCTGGCATTGCACGCTGCTAGCTACACAAGTCTGGGGTTTGCATGATGGTCCTGCTCTCACTACTCCAGTAGACATGGTGCTGATGGGGTTTCTTCGCTGCAACTCTGACTCCATGCTTCCACTTGGCATTGCTCTAGTGAAGGTTGTCTGTGGTGACTCCACCCCTGGGATAGATCTCTTCCTGGGCCCCCAGACTTTTCCATACATCCTCTGAAATTGGGGTAGAGGCTTCCAAACCTCCACAGCTCTGGCATTCTGTGAACCTTAAGAGTTAATACCACATGGATGCTGCCAAGCCTTCCGACTTGTATCTTCCAAAATTGTGGGTCCAGCCACACCTGGGACCAATTCAGTGGCTGGAGCAGCCAAAGCAGCTGGGGTGCCAGTGCTGGGAGCAGCTTTCCAAGGTGTTCCTGAGCAGTGAGCCTGTGGAGGGTGCCTCAGGCCTGTTCCCCAAGACCATTTTGTCTCCCTAGCTCTTTGGGCCTGAAATGGAAGGATTGGCCTCAGAGGCTTCTGCAATTCTTTCAGGGCCCTTTTCACCTTCTCTTGATAATCCCCTTTCTTTGTACTAATCTTCTTAGCATCATTGGATTTTTCTTCTGAAAATGTTCTGCTTCTCTACCACATGTCCAGGCTGCAAATTTTCCAAATCTTTACGCTGTGCTTCCCTTTTAAATTCTGGTACTATGTCATGCCTTTTCTGCCATAACTTAGTGTAGGCTGTTACAAGTAGCCATGCAGCTTCCTTAATGCTTTGCTGTTTGGAAATTTCTTCCGCCAAACATTCTGGTTCACAACTCTTAAGTCCCACGTTCCACAAAGTCCTAGGGCATGGACACAATGCAGCCAAGCTCTTTGCCAGTTCACAGCAAGGGTGATTTTTCCCCAGTTTCCAATAATCTCCTTATTTCTATCTGAGATCTCCGCAGAATGGTCTTCACAGTCCATATTTCTATCAGCATTCTGCTCACCACCACGTAACCAGTCTCTAAGACATTCCAAACTTTCCCTGGTCTTTTGTCTTCTGAGTCCTGCAAACTCCTCCGACCTTTGCCTAACACCCAGTTCCAAAGCTGCTTCCACATTTTTGAGTATCTGTTATAAACAACACCCCAACTCTCTGGTACCAATTTCTGTATTAGTCCATTTTGTGTTGCTTATAACAAAATACATGGAACTGGGTAATTATAAAGAAAATGACATTTATTGCTTACAGTTTCTGAGGCTGGGAAGTGCAAAGTCCATCTAGTGGTGGTGACAGTGACCCAGGGGTCTCACATTGCAAGATGGTGGAAGCAGAGAGAGCAGAGAGAGACTCTCCTTTTAAAGCCCTCAGAACCACGCCCCTGACCACCATTTTTAATCCATTCACTACTGCATGGTCCTACAATCCAATCACCCCTTCAAGGCTCCACCTTTTGATTATCATAATAGGATTTCCCACCCTCTTAACAGTCACAGTGGAGGCTCTGTTTCTAATACATAAAACTTGGGAGACAATTCAAGCTTCAATGAGTTTTGGGGAAACATAACTCAATCTATTACATCTATAAAACAAAAGTATGACAAATTTGATAACATGCAAATTACAACCTTTCTGCATAGTGAAAGATATGGGAAATAAAGCTAAAAGACAGGCAACAGTCAAACATTAGACAAGCAAGAGAAAATTTGCAAAATGTGTTACTGCAAAAGGGTTAATATTAGTGATGCATAAATAATTCTACAAACCAGTAAGGACAAAAAATACCCAAAAGAAGGATGGAAAAAAGATATGAACAAGGAATTTAGTAAATATGGATATTCAATAAATATAGAAAAGATGCTCAACTGTACTAGCAATCAAAGAGTTACAAATTATGCAAAAATTTGCAAATTGACAAAAATTAAAAAGATTACACATCCAATGTTATCAAGGTTATGGGGAAAGGGACGGTCAGTAAAAGGAAACTGGTTACTGCTTCTTTTAAAGTAATTTCACAATATCTCCTAAAACTCATATATACGGGTATATACACTTTGATGCACTAATTCCTCTTTGAGCAATCCATCTTACAGGGATCCTTACAGGTACACAAATATTTATGTTAAATATTTTCTTAACACGTGTTTTATAATAAAGAAAAACTGAAAACAGCATGGAGTCTGTCAGCAGGGGATAAATTGAAGAAGGTAGGCTGCACCTATTCGGGCATTGCTAGGTAGTTAGACATGAAGAAAGTGTGCTCTTTGAAACGACATGCCAAGATCCCACTGATATGTGGTTAAATGCAAAAAGCAAGCAGCGGAACTCTAAATTTAAATGCACACACACATACACACATGCACATACATGTTCATGCATAGAAAGCAGTCTGGAAGGAAACTCACAGTGTTAACAGTGGGCCCTTCTGGGGAGGAGAGATTGGGGCTGAGATGAAGATATGGGGCTTCAGGGACAATTTTCACCCTGGCAACTTATCTTGTGTGAATTTTTCTTTTTACACCTGACATATAGTCCTTACTTTAAAAAATTTAAAAATCATAAACAAGAGAAAAAAGGATGGAGGCATGGAGAGAGACAGTTGCTATTTGAGTAAGGTGGACATGTAGCTTAAGGGTTACAGGGTGTGGTTCTAAGAGCAGCCTGTCTGAATCTGGATCCTGGTTGTCCACCTGCTGACTTTGTGACCTTGGGCTAGTTATTTAATCTTGGTGCACCAGAGGTTCCTTATCTATGAAAGTAATATTTCCCTTGCAAAGCTATAATTAACAAGATTCTATTAACAGTATTCAGCACTGTGTCTGCACCATTGTAAATTCTCAGAAAATAGTCATAATCATTATTTGAAGTAAGAAGCTCAGTGGTATATGTAAGTTAAGATTTTCTTTAAGAAAGTAATTTTCACTATTTGCATTTTAGTCTGATTGTTAAACGGTTGATAATAGAGCACCTAGAATATACAGAAAAATAAAGAGAATAAAAATGCATATTTCTGTTAGATTCTTAAACATTATTTTCCATCCATGTGACTTACTACTCCTCTGGCGAAATTATGGTCTGCCCTGCTGCTTACAAAGGGTGTTGCTATGCAGGTCATAGGTGTGAGTCATACTTCTGGATGCATCAGTTAACTTGAAGAGAGGAGAGAAACAATCTACCACAATGCTCCCCTTTCCAAACCCAGCTAGTGGACCAAAACATGTCTGCTATTATTCACAATGTGGCTAGGGAGAGAAAATGTAAATAACTCAGTCCAAGCCATCCTTGCCACCAACAAAAAAAATTCAAACACACCATCTTCCAATAATAATAGAAGTTACCATTTATTGAGCATGCAACAATATATATTGTTGGATATATATATTGGATGCCTCATACATATCATTTTTAATCTTTTCAATCCTGCAAAATAGGTATTACTTTCCCTATTTTACAACTATGGAAATTGAGACGTCAGAGAAGTTAAGTGTTTTGCCCAAAGCTGCATGGCTAAAAAGGTGTAGAAACAGAATTTGACTGTAGATCTATATAACTTCAGAGTCTATGATTACTCTACTATACATTACTACCTCCTTGACAATAGAAGTTGTGGCTTCATTTTTGTATACAAAGAAGTACAGGCTTATGTTTCAGTCTACATACAGAGCCTTGCATCGTTATAGCCATGCCCAGGAGGCAGGGTCATTCTCTCCTGATCTGTGTCATGTTGCAAAGTATCCTCTTTGCCCGCACAGTTGTTGGATATAGGCATCACTCATGTTTATTTCACATCTCACCTAGGTGGCAGCTTTGAAATACATCCCATCTGTGCTCCATGATGTGGAAACAGTCTTTGATGCGAAGTTACTCAGGTGAGAGCTTATGATGTACTCCCTGGGCTCTGTCGGAAAGCCAGGGATTCAGGGAGAGAGGGGGGCTCTTGTGGGGAGTTCCAGACGGGCACTCCACCCAGGAACAGGGAGGACACATTGTAGAAGCCTCATAAAGGGCTTCTAGTGTGGGATTTTTTACTTTTTGGTTTTGTTGTGCCAGACTTTGGTGAATACCAACTACATAATAAACATCTCTCTTTGATGATACAGAATATAAACATGTGGGTTAAAAAATTGATGTTTAGGATCAACGTCTCCATTTTACCTGAACTTGAAGGTTGCTTTGGCCTCCAGACTTTGCCGTGTAAGCCCTATAAGTTGCAAAAGGAGAGCACCTACAAACTTAAAGAGATACTGAAGATGCTTTCTCCTTCTTAACTCCATTCATCATAGATGAATATTTATTTAAATGTGATTGTGCTGTTGAAACAGAATCCTCTGGTCAGATATACTCTGTTCTTTTTTTTAAAAATTCACTTAAGTTCCAGATAATGTATAGATTTTTAAATTTTTTATATTTAAATACTTTTAGATTTATTTACAAATGAGTTGCAACCAGAATTCCCATATGCCCTTCACCCAACTTCCCCTAATGTTAACATTTTATATAACTGTGGCCATTTGTCAAACCTGAGAAATTAACATTGGTACCGTTCTCTCAACTGCATTCCAGATTTTATTCAGATGACACCAGTTTTTTCACAGATGTTCCTTTTCTGTTCATATGGGAGATTTTTGCTGGCGCCATCTGATCCTTCAGGTCTCAAGCTAAATGTTATCTTTTTTAGAGATCTCCCTCTGAATATTGTAAAGAAATTAAATTCCTCCCCCACCCCCAGTGCCATTATTCTCTGACATACTCCTTATTTATTTCCCTAAATGTTATCTTTTTTAGAGATCTCCCTCTGAATATTGTAAAGAAATTAAATTCCTCCCCACCCCCAGTGCCATTATTCTCTGACATACTCCTTATTTATTTCTTTCACTGTGTTTATCACGTCGTATTGATTTGTTTGCTTCTGTGCTGCATGCCAACCTCCATCAGAATGTAAGTTCCATGCCAACTGAGACCATGTCTGTTTCCATTGTATCCTCATTTCTCTGCAGGTTGCCTGTCTCATACTAAGTAGATGCTTAATAAGTACTTGAAGGAATGAATGAATACAATGAATCTATTCTGGAATGCTGACAGGGACTATAATTTTTTTCATGGTATTTTTATTTTCACTCTATTTGGGAAAAGCTGTCTCTATTTTGATGTTCCAAATGAGTTCTAACCCACAACTTTTTTATTGTTTGTTATATTTCTTTTTAACTAAGGACATTTTTGATCTTAAGACTTATAAAGTATTACCAAGCATAAAACATTTGAACATAAAATGGATGGAATGGTAATGAAGTCAGAATCTGGTTTTAAACTTTTGTTTCTTTGATTTCCTGACATTTTTGATCTTAAGACTTATAAAGTATTACCAAGCATAAAACATTTGAACATAAAATGAATGGAATGGTAATGAAGTCAGAATCTGGTTTTAAACTCTTGTTTCTTTGATTTCCAGCTGCATAACCTTAGGAGAGTTAATCTTTCTAAACCTTAGTTTTCCCACTTGTAAAACTGGGATAAGTAGTGTATCTAGCTAGTAGAGTTGTGAGGTTTAGATGGCATAATGACTGTAAAAGGCAAAGTATGTCACTGGTTACAATTAGTGCTCAAGGTTATTGGTATTATTTTCAGATTTTTACATCTCTTTGAATGCTGTTAATACTGAACACCAAACCACAACTTACACATTTATGTACGTTTCCTATAGCCTTACTATATACCTGACACTCTGCCAAGAATTGGGGGTGCAAGTAGAGCAGGATCCACATAGTTTCTGCCCCCACAGAGCTAACAGTCTGGGGAGGGACTGTAAGTGATAGGAGGTAGGAGCCATTGGTCTAACTTGCTGTACCAGCTCCTGTTTTTCTTGCCCACAGCCAACTCCTGTACGAGTTCTACACCTGCATCCCTCCTGTGAAACTCCAGAAGCAGAAAGTGCAGTCCATGACTGAGATAGTGCAGAGCAACCTCTTCAAAAAGCAAGGTGAGTGCAAGACATCCTCGCTGGGTGGGTGGTGCCATAAACCCCATGTTCTCTCTGGGAGGAGAGGACAGCACATTTGGTTATTAAAATATCTCTTCTCTAACAACTCCCTTGGTCCACATAAGTAGAAAGTAGCTGACAACTTAGATATCAGAATCTAAATTGATTTAGGAAAGCTTAGGTTGCATTGTTTATTTCTCCGGAGAAAGTTTAATGAGGTGGTGAGTTTGGAGTCATGTGCTTTAGGTCATTGTGGTGTAAAGTTTTTTCCCTGTATGGTTCATTATTGCTGTCCTTAACTTGAAGAGAAGTGGGTGAAGTTCCTTTTAGTAGAAAAGACATTTAAGGGAGAAATTCTCAACATTTCAAATAAGAACAAACTAGACAGCTTATTAAAATGTGGATTACTGGAACCAATCTCAGATTCTGATTGAGTGGGAATTAGCATTTATTTATTTTAAAATGTAAATTATTTTTGAATAGGTAATGCATTTACATGAATCAAAATGCAAAGTATGAAAGGGTACCACATGATGAAAAGGGGACCTCCAGACCCTATGCATGGCCATCCCATCCCTTCTCCAGAGGCAACCAGTGTTTCCAGTTTCCTGTGTCTGTTTCCAGGGACACTCCATGGATGTGCGACCAAATACATATATTCTATATATTCTCCCCTGGTCTTTTAATATCATCACTCAAATAGTAGCAAATTGTGTAACTGTTCTGTATTTCACTTTTCTTCACTTAATGGTTTTTTTGGAGGTCAGGGAATGACAGTGGATTTGGGCAGAAGTTGTGGTCAGAACTTCTGCTCACCCTAAACTGGTCACTGCTGCATCCTCTGACAGTACCCCATTGTTAAGAGACTTGGGGTTCCCTACTGAGGAACTTGGGGTTCCCTTGAGGTCAGTGAACTAGATGTTCATAGCTCTTTCAGATATGACCAGGCAGGATTTAGAGGTCCGTGTTCATCCTCCACCTCATCTCCAGCAACCCGCTGCATTCCTGGGTCATGCAAAATGAATCATGTATTTTGCTCAATTCAAAATTCTGCATTTCTTCCCTCCTTCTTTAAGGGTAAAGAAATGACTTTTAGGGGTTAGCACTGTTTTCTGTACCCTAAGACAAGCCCTTTCCAATTTTAAATTCCTCTGTCCACACCGGTGTCAGTGATGAGATGAGAAACAAACCGTGCAAGAAACAAGAGGTCTTAGAATTCAAAGGATCAGCTGTCGCCCAGCTGGAATTTATTCAGGGAGGGAAGCCTGAATATTTATGCAAATTGCCTGGTAATCATAGAAATAGTCAGGAACCACTTCCCTGTAAAGTTGTTTTTTTCCCAATGCCTGGTTAACATGGTGCATCCAAAATTGCTGTCTGAATCCTATCCCTGAAGTTAAGCATAGAGGAGGATGTGGGGAAGAAAAGAGTTCTTGTGATTTTAACAATTAAGTGTGTAGTTTCCTGATCATTTAGACAGATGTGTGGCAATAGATTAATCCAATGCATACGTGGTTTGTTTGTGCAGGCTGGTTTGTATGAGGTGATGGGAGACTAATCCTGGTAAATATTGTTGCATTTCTTGTATTACTGTGGCTTTTTAAAGTGGAATGTGTGTGTTTTTACAGTTCTGACTTCCAAAGCCAAATGAATTACCCACAGTCTGAAAACTTTGAAATATGCCTGCTTCTTCGTGCCCTGGCAGCCCATCCCATGATTTCAGGTGGTGTCACTGTAGAGACAAATTGAGTCCCGTCCTAGGGATGTGACAAGGACAGATCTAGCTACATCTGGTGCTACACAGGCAGCAGAGAGCAGGGCTACATGGCTGTCCTTCATTGTTCCGAGCTGCCATCATTGTCAGGGGCAGGCATAACAACAAGGGCAGATGGAGCACTAGCACAGTCCTGGGCTGGGCATGTGGTGTCAATTCTAGCTTCCTGGAAGTGGGAATAATTCTTTTCCTGGAGGCACATCTCCTAGACTGGGAGGTGGCCCCTGAGTGTTAGCATCATCACAGGGCTGGCTAGACAGCTGCTGTTTTCCCATCCTGCTGTGTGTCTGAATTTCAGATTCAGAAAAAACTCTCCGATTAATATTAACTGACAGAAGGCCAGCCCTAGTGTTGTACACAGTTACAAAGGAAATGCAAAAATCTTACCTTTAAATACATGCAGAGACTAGCAATAGGCAGACAAAGTGCCCTTTGGGGACCCATTTTAAAGAGGATGCAACGTATAATTAGTCTAGCCAGTCCTGGCTCATGCATGAAAGCAGTGTGCTCTAATACTCGGCTTCATGGTAACTCCTCTCCTACTCCTTATTTGCTAAGTGAATCCTCTTAACCAAAATAATCCCAAAGGGAAACTTCAGCTCATCCCTTTCTTAAGTCCTCAAGTTCCAAATGAATAAAATCTGAATTCATATACACTCACTGGGTGTCCATTGCTCTTGGGTGTCTCTTTTTTATACCCTTAAATAAGGTGAGTTTGATTCCTCGGGCCAAGTTTCAGCTGTAATGAAATTCACTGTGTTATTCTCTCTGTGCAATGTCCTGTGCCTCAGGGACATGATTTGCTTTGAGCTCACACTTATTTAACTGCCAGATGTGCAAATTGCCTGGAGTATTGTTGGTGACATTAGCTTGTACTCACAGTCTTGAACATTTGTACTGACATCAAGCAGAGGGGCCGGAAAGCTTTAAAGCATTTTCTGAGCTTTTGGCAGACTACCCTATTGGCCTGTCTTCAGAAGGATCCTATGAAAAAGTGGGAGAAGGGTTTTCTGGTTAAGGGCACTGGTTCTTGGATCATACTAGACCTCAGTTTAATTCCTAGTTCAGTCCCTTATCAGCTATGTGACTATTGGCAATTTTCTTAACTGCTCTGATCCTCAGTAAACTCATCTGTAAATTGGGAATCGTAATATTAGTGTCTGTCTCAGAAGGTGGCTGTGTTGGTTAATGAGAGGGATGATGCATTTAAAGTATTTAGCACAGCGTCGGGCTCAGCGTAATGTCCCATACTAAGTTATTATTGGTGTTGCGCTTGTTTTTCCTGCTGCTCCCCGCAGTATTCCAACTTCTAACGTGGCCTTTAAATTCCTTACAAGAAGGGAGTCCCTTGTGTTTGATAGTTGCACATAACCCTAAACTAAGCTTCCTATTTCCTTGGAAGCTGCATGTTTTTCCTGAGGGTTGAGAAACACAGGACTTAATGAATAAAAGGGCCTTTGTCTACATGTGCTTCCCTTTCTGGCTTTGAATACGTCTTTCCATTTTTATTTTATTTCGCTCTTTTCCAAATGCTCATGTTATGTATGCCTAGAAGAAGTATAGGTCGGGATGAAATGTTTGTGGTTTATCGCTTCATTGTTTATCTTGCTACAGGCCTTAACATAGTTACATAGTTTTGGACACTTGAAAGCCATACTCTTTGATGATTTAAATGCACACACACACATACACGTACACACACACAATTTTTTTTCTTGTTTTCCTTTATGGAGGCAATTAGCCCCCATTAGCCTCTTACTTGACCTGTGATCTTGAGTGAGTTACTTAGTGCTGTCAGTCTTAATGTCCTCATCTGTAAAAAGGGAAGAGTCCCAGAATGGGTCTCACTGATTGCTGTGCAGACTCCAAGGCATGATGTGGCTCATTAGCCTGGGGTATGGGGGAGTAAGGAATCACCATCAATGAAGGTCCCACTCAGAATGGCTTGCTCTGTGTGAATGACTTCAGGGTCCAGAGAGAAGAGAACTGAGAAATCTGTAGAGACCAATTTGCTGTCTTCTCCAACACAAGCTCAGACTTGCCTGCTCGTGGTGATGGGGATGGGAGAAAGGATGAATAGATATGTCCCGAGAAAGCTCCAAAGGGAGTCTACGAGAAAACCAGACCTTCTGTGCCTTTGGAACAGATTCATCCCCATGAGAACCTAATCTCTAAGTAAAGAGTCTTTTTCGTCTGATGCTAATCAGATGCACCATCTGGTTCAGTGTAAACTGCTTTAGGATCCACATTGCTCGCTTTTCTCTTCAACTTTCAAAACAGAGAGGGAGACCTGACAGAGATTTGTAAACTCTTCCAATGCTGATTTTCAAGCTAGTGGTTTTTTTCATCGGAAACTTTTTTGAGAAGCTGTTCTCTGAGCATAAAACATCCAGTTTTCCCATTCATCAAGACGTAGCTGCTTTCTTCCCCCTCTTATCTGTCACCCACAGTATCTGGAGCTGCTGGGACCTCAATTCGCAATTCACGATGAGCTGGGCAACTGTTGGGGGAGAGAACCACAAATAATTCTACCCAGTGCTGTAAGGGGCTTATCTTTTCCAATCATCATATCATAGCAGCCTTGGGCTGGGAATAGAGAAAAGTCCTCTGACTCCAGTAGTTATTACTTTGCTTAGTGAACTTATGTAACATCTCTGGACCTCCAGTTCCATGTCTGAAAAATGTGACTAGGAATGCCGTCATTAGAATAAAGGACTTTTGATTCAGGACATCCTTATTTCTGATCCTGCCTTGATCATTTAACCAGCTGTGTCCCTTTGAACAAGTAACCTCCCTGAGCTTCAGTTTCTTTAGCTACAAAAATGCAATAACTTACATAAAACAACTGGCAGAGTGCCTGAGATACAGTTGCTGCTTATTAAAAGGCACCTATTGTATAATAATAATAACTGCAAGAATGATAATGACATCAACAGCATCTTACAGGGAAAGACATTTATTAAATGTCAACTACGTATCAGGTACTATATAGAACATAAACATATATTAAATTCTTACAACAACCCAGTGACATAGGTATTATTATCCCCATTTTATAGATGGGAAAATTGAGGCTTAGAAAAGTAAGTAATCCCAATGAGACCAAAGATCTCACAATGTATCAAGTTAATTAGTGTATTGGCTATGTGATGCTGGGGTGACAAATCAAATCTCAATGGTTTAACAATGTAAAGGTTTATTTTTCTCTTATGCAAAGTCTGGTGGA